TATATATATATATATATATATATATATGTATATACCTTCCCAAAGAGCTGTTTCTATTTCCTGCCATATTTCTTTCCTCTCCCCGTATTCCTTTCCTATCTCTTTTACTTCTCTTCCACCTGTATTTTTTCCAGTCTTTTTTTCTCATTGATTTTTCTCTTCTGAAACTGATTTAGTGTGGAACCTATATACAAACAGATTTATACATGCAGAATTTATTGAGTAAAGTTTTATAGTGCATATTCACAATTTTGAAGAAGAGTTGAATGTTGAGTTGAATGCTTTATGCTTCTCCTCAGAAACTAAGATAGTTTTAATTTGAATGTTGTCCTTGACTGATCCTCCCTCTCCTATTATCTAGTAAAATCAACAATTTATTTTTTGCTTTGGAAGAACTTTTTATACAAAAATGAATATTGATACATAGTTCTTTGGGAGGAAAAAAGGTCTTCAAACAAAGGTAGTTTTTTTTTCAGGAAAATATTCATTTTGTATAAACATACTATAAGATTTTGGCTGTTCAAATGTGCTTTTTTTCAAATGAGAAAATTTTGGTGATATTTCATTTAAGAAAATATGGCTATTTCAATGTCTCTTTGAAAGCATTTCACAGGACTCATAAACTGCTTCATAAAATGCAAACCTACAGAGAGATTGTCCTATACTCATAAAGCCTGCAAAGTTTAGTATTTCCCATTTCTTTTCTTAATGTAGTACAGTCATAATTTTTATTCTCCCTTCCCTTTATTACATCTTCTTTCTTCATTTTTTTCAGTTTATGCCATTTCCCTCTTCATATGTATCTTTACCTCGTTCTCTTTAAGCCTTTATAGTTTGAATGGCACAAAGATTAGTCTTTCAGTATCTTCTTCCTCATTCAGATTTTCTATTTTCCTGTCTCTTTATACCATATTCTTTCATTCCTTTTTTTATTTAATTTTTTTATTAATTAACCTCAATGCCCTTCCTTAGGCCCAATTCAATGACTGCTAGCAGCTCTTAGAAGAAGGAAAGAGTGCTTTTTTAGCACTTCATTTCTGTAATCATTTAAAACTTACAAGCCAAGACATTTGGAAACAATTATGGTTTAATGCTTCATGATGAAAATGATTCTTTTCAATCTATTTCAAGTGTCCTTAGAGATGTTAAAAATTATTTAAAAATTTAGCTGGTCGAATAATGCATTTAAAATCAGCATGGAGTGGGAAGAATTGGGGTATAGCTGGTGCCAAGGTGAGCTGCAAATAATGGAAACAATGGGAATATTTCAGAATGGGTTTTCAAACCTTTCTATTTATTAAAGCTCTAAGACAGAGTGGAATAAGTTAATGTTAAAGGGAATGGATAGGAACTTGGGGAAATCTGAAAGTTAAAGCCATTGTCTGCTTATGGTAGTTTCTTTGCAGTCTCCAATTTAATGTTTATATGTCACATGACCCACTACTTCACAATGAATCCATGTTCATTTTTGTATAAAATATTGTCAAATCTCCAAGTAAAACAAATGTTTCTATTAGGTGAATATCTTGTTTTTTTTTTTTTTCCTTTTGTGCCTTCTAGTTCATCCAGAACCTTGTTCAAATATCTATAGGGGTTTATAAGCTTAAAGCCAAAGCAGTAATATTGGGGCATGTAGTCCAACCTGTTTACTACCTTCCTTCCTATCACCAATCCCATCACTGACTGGAAATGAGGTGCCAGAGCAGGTATAGAGGTATTGGTGGCAGTGGCAGGTGCCTAAATGGTTATTTCATAATGCAATGCACTGTTTGAGTAGAGAGTGGTTTACCCTGAGTGGAGGTGTTTAAACAGAGACAAAGTGACACTATATTGAGAACTTAAGCCTTAGTTGTGAAGACTCTATAAATGATCAATTGAAAAATCTGGCTCTTATGAATAAATAGAACACAAAATAAATATTAAAAGAGTAAAAAATAAATAGAATAAGAGAATTTTTATTTTCCTACAAAATATGCTGTAATTAAATTGATCAAAATATAAACAATCAAGAACTGGGTTGGGGCTAAACTGTCCTCTGGCAGAGGTGTGTTGAGCAGAGAAAGTGAAGAGATGATGAGGGGAAGGACAGAGAACAGCTCAGGATGGGGCAGAAAAGAATTTTTCCTTCTGTCCTTGACCTGTTGCAGTGGTCTTTACTGAATCACATTACCTCCTATTGCCACAGCAGGCTAATCAAAGGAGCTCTGGAACAGTTTTCAGGCATTCTTTCTTTCTACTACTATCTTGGTCTCTGTAATACCTTGGCAGTTTGTGGGCATCCATTTGGGTTCCTTCCTTATTTAACATTTAGAAAGATGTGGTCTGAGGCAGGAGGAAATACAGCAATTTCTTTCTTTTTAAATGCTGACAAATATAATACTTGCTAATCAAAATATAGTCTTCAGGCCAGCAGCACCTATAGTATGGATGTCGCCTGGGAACTTGTTAGAAATGCAGAATATCAGGTGTCATACTGGTCTATTGAATTATAATCTGCATTTTTACAAGATTTCTGTAGAATTCATAGGCATATTCATGTTTGAGAAGTACTGATCTAAGATATTTTCTTTGCATTCCTATGGGGTGCCGGGGTGTCACCTATTCTCTGGATATCAGCAATTTCCTTGGATGGGTTTAACTGGGGCTGTGTGCTCTCTTAATTTGTCCATTAATCCATTATCACATTTTATCCTTACAAAAAACTGTAAAGATACCTTAATCCTCATATTGCAGATAAGACAGATAAGTAACTTACCCAACGTCATACAACTTTTAAATGGTGAAGATGTTCTTCTTCTTGGGCCTGACTGATTCCCAAGTCTTTTTTCTTTTCATACATTAAGTTGCTTTTTCTTGATCTTAATCATGAGTAATTGTTTATGAATAGGAGAATAAAGCCCACTAAGAAATATTGTAAAAGAGAGCCCTTTTGTGTTAAAAGAAAGAGGTCTTTCAGTTATCCAAAGATTGTTTCAAATAGTGTTTGACACTTCTGGCAAAAAGCAAAAAAAAGCAAAAAAGACAGACCAAAGCTTCATTGGTCCCTGGCTTCTGGTGTAACTTGGGGAAGTGAGAGGACTGCATTCTGTCATGCACACACTTCATCCTGCCCATCAGCTGACTTGCACCTTGTTGCTGCTGAGGCAGGCCCCATCTGTTCAAGCCGTGTTGAGCCAGGTGCTGAGAGCAGTACTGATTGTGTTATGTTGAGGCTGCCCATATGCCTCCATGCAAACTGTGGTTCAAGAGCTGTAAGACTATTTGCAATTTTAATCTATCAGATGGCTTTGAACAAAACCAGTGCTAATAAGGCTATTTGAATGCTTCCTATTTGCCAAAAGAGTGTAGAACTTATGGCCACCAACCAAATTATTAAGAAATACTGTACTTTCAGAATATCTATTTTCCAGAAAAGTACAAGTGGAGAAACCATATGAAACACTGGAGATGACCTCGATCACCCTTTGTTCTTGGAAGACTCCATTTACCTGCAAAAATCGAAGATACAACCCAAAGCAAATGACATTGCTTTTAGGCTGGAGTATCCTGTGTCACTTTAGCTCTGGGGTTGTAACCTAAATGGACTTGTTTCAAGCTGGGTAACATCAAGTGTTGGCTGTCCACACTGCACAAGCATTTCTTAGGGGAGGTAGATATTGCTTAAAAATTAGCACTGGATTAGAAACATGAAGTAAGTGTGGGGCATGCCCCAGTACCTTTATAGTGGAACTAGCTGTACCTGGGGGCACAGTTTTCATCTGGGTGAAGGCCCCTCGGTTGTTCTCACACTCCAGAGACTCTGTTGGGTCACCATTTTGTAGGGTGTGAATTTACAGTGGAGGTGACCTGCCTTACCAAGGTCTCTTTTCGCTGCCCTGGCTGGATCTCAAGGTCATCCAGGTGAAGGAGCTTTCAGAGTGAGATTGGAGGCCTGGGAGCCAGGCCTGATAGTGGTGCTTCCCTCACGTGTCCCATAATCATCCTGTCCTTCCCTCCAGTCCTCTTTCTGACTTTAGCAGAAGACTGGGACTCGGGCAAGAGAGGAGTCACGGACCCCATGGACTGATTAACTTTAAGGGCCCACTCACCCCTCTGCTGAGAGCCAGCGCAACTTGGAGAACTCAGAGTTACCTTCTAGAGTAAAACTCTCTGAGGTACATACATATGCATATATATAAAAGGGCAAACCCATCCTAAATGTCAGTCCAATATCCACGGGAGCGAGCGACAGCAGGTAATTAGAAGCAATTAGCCGTCCCCCTGCCGGGAAGCCAGACAATTACCTTTTTCTCTCTTTCTCTTCCGATCTTCCTTCTCCCGCGGAAGCGGCAGAAGAATTCTGCTCCCGAAGCAGCAGGGTACGCTGAGCTGGCACGGGAGTGAGGGATGAACTGAGCAGGGGTTTCGGTCTCCTCCTCCCGCCGCGGCGGTGGCCGCCGGCGGAGCAGTGCATTGTGGAGACGGCGCGCGCGGCGGCGGCTGGAGCTGCGGCCCTGGGATCGCAGGGCGGGGAGCTGTCCGACGTGCTGACCGTCCCGACCCGCGGAGGGGGCGCCCAGCACCTTCCTTCCAACCTGCGTCTGTCCGTCTCTCTCTCTTTCTCTCTGCCTAGGGGCGTAGCGGCTGGAGGAAATCATGGTGTTCGCTCCAGGTACACCTGCACCTTGCTGTTTCACCAAGTGCCTGGGAGGGGGGCGGGGAAGAAGGGTGAGGTTAGGGAGAAAAGGCCTTCACCTTACGGCCTGTCTGCCCGTTTTGAAGTTACTGTCTGTGAGAGAGACGCAGGAGAGTGCCTCTGTGCGACGTCTTCGTCCTTCCCCAGTCCCGCCCCATCTGTCTCCTAACAATCTCCAGCTATCGTCCCGCCGCTGCTCCTCCGCCTGGTTCCTCCACATCCCATCGAAGCTCATGCACCGTGAGAACTGGGACCTCCGCCAGCAGCAGAAAACGCCTGCGTGGGCAGGAGGGTGGAGGGGTGGGGCAAAGAGTAGTGGGCTTAGGGCTACTTTGGTGGGAATCTCCTTCGCTGCCACTCGCCGTTCCGCAGAAGTGGCAAAGTGACCCGGTTCCTCCTGACCTCGTGAGGAGAGAAGCGGATGAAGACCAGGAGTGAGGGACAAAGGGCAGAGGAGCAATACTCCTTAAGGGATTAGAGCGGAAACTCCGGCCGAAGGCTGCAGCACAGAGGCTGCTACTGCGGCACCGCTGGCAGGGGTTGCGGTGTCTTTTTGGAGCTGGCGATGAAGGACTTTGGTTCCTTCGCTGCTATCCGTGACTGTAAATTGGCGAAGAGTCAGATTTGTCTGCGGGTTGATGGGCTTACTTGAGTGTGCTCGTGTGTACATTTGTGTGAGCATCCCCATGCCCCACCCTCTCAACAGCAAGGACGTGGGTGTGTTTCAGGTGGGGTCAGAAACAGGGAGCAGAGGGGGAATGCGTGGTGATTGTAAATGGAGGTAGTTGTCCTAGGGATTATTAATACAAAGTTGGTTTTTTTTTCTTGACTTAAACTCCAGACTCTGCTTTGATTACAGACTGCTGTAGAAAAACGGGAGTAAGGAAGAGAGTACAGGAGCCTCAAACTCTTTGACTTTGTTGTGGTTCTTTAACCTGAAAGGTTGGTTTTCATTTGCTGTGACCATGGACCTCAGATAGCTGGAGGAAAGGTATATATTGCATTTTTAAAAGGGAAGAATTTAGTCTGGGCTTCAAAAAATTCGAATAGCCAAACTTGAGAAGAGGAAGTCCCCACCACAATTCCACCCCAAAATCAGCATGCTAGCTGAGAAGGCAGGAATGAGTTTCTGTCAGTTCTGTTACTCACCTGAGTTCTGACTCAGACTGCCTTAGAGGAAATACCAGGAGCCCTGCTTCCCACCCCAAATAATCCAAGGGGAAAAACTGTTCCATACAGTGGCTATTCAATCAGCACAAGATCTGTGAAGTTGTAAAACAACAGCTCTTTGTTGCATTTATAAACTACTAAGCGCTTTATAAAGCACTTTTATGCGGTTATCTCATTTGATCTTCAAATTACCCTCTGAGGTAAGCAATATCATCTCTTTCACCACCCACAGGGAGGCTGATTCCAGATAGTCTTGCCAGCCTCAGGTGGAGTTTTGTGACCTCTGATGCTCTCTTCTGTAACCCCAGAGCCTATCTTCCTGACAAATGCCTCACCAGTTTTAGGAGTAGCTGCTTTTTGGTCCGAAGTCAGATGTAGCCAAAAGGCAAGTAAGTGTCCTTCCACTTCCAAGGTGGGGGATGGACTGGTGTTGTCCCGAGTTAAGGTGATATTAACTAGGCATTTTCTAAATTGTGTGTGAAAGATTGTGCAGTGAGCAGTAAGGAATTTCTGGAGTGGATTGACTTGGTGTAAGCAGCCCACTATGTGGAAAGGGATTTACAATTCCATTTTGCTTCCAGGTTTTATATTAGTTTAGTTAAGTTTATTTCCTATGGGAAGAATATAAGTAATTCATAACTGTCAGAGATGGCATAAAATGACCTGGATAGGATATGTCCAGAAACCTGTGGGGAAACACTTTTTTAGGTAATTTCTTTAATTTTGCATTTCTCTTGAACAATAATAAGCATTTTGGTGTAATAAGAACAGGGTGCTAAAAATATTATGTCATCTCATCTTCTTATCTACTGATTTATATGACTTCTAACTCATTTAGTGTTATTCTTCTAAAAGAAAATCAAAATAATGGAATGGTTCTGAACTCTGCCAGATTTTCAGCTTTACAACCTCATTTCTAGGACAATTACTCTTCTAAATCTCTATAATCTAGGGACCCAGATGTTTTGTACCAGTCAAGGGAAATACTCCCCCACCCCTTTGTCCAGGTCCATCTAACACTCAGGAAGTGAGGGAACAGAGGCATTCACTATGATCATCCCAAAATTAATAAAATAAAATAATAATTAAAAATGAATATAGCAATAAATTAACAATGAGCTGTTCACAAATTGGGTCAGTTGTACCATGCTCTTCAAAACCCATTATAACTTTTGGATTTTACCAAAAGAATACAAGATTCCTGGGGTCCAGTTCTGGCCATGCCTCTGTGGATTGGCTTGCCTTTGAATGGTTCTCCTGCCTCTTTTGCTTACTTTAATAGCAAAGGTAAAAAGTGACAGAAGTTCATGAAGCAAATTTCAGTCCATAAGTACAATGAAATGAGGGAGAAATGGAGTGGGGCTTTAGATAATTCTAGTTAGGATTTGCTTTTATCATATGGTATAAAATATGCATTGTCTTGTTTCATTTAGTCTATAATTACAAGGAACAGGGCTTAAGTTGGATAGAGTCATTGGGTGGTTTCTCAGTTTACATAGGGCAGACAATTCAGTTCTACACTTTTCCTCCTTATTATACCATTCATAGACTTTGTAAGTTAGGAGGGTCTTAATTTTGTGCATACCAATTTTTAAACCCCTTAGAGATAAGGGGCCATGACTATTAATTATTTAAGGATTTAGTTACTTGAAGCCTATCAGTCATTTCTTCTTCCTTCTAAAGGAATTATACAGAATTAATAACATTTAAATGATGAATAAAGTATAAATATATTAATTTATCTGTATTTATCATATATCCCTAAATAAAAGTTGAACTAAGTTAGAGCAAATGGCAGAGACAAAAGGCAAAAATGTGGCTTCTTGTTTTTCCTAAATCTCTTATTTATTCCTCCTCCTTTATTGCCCTTAAACTGAGAGTGCAATCTTTGTACAGCAATGTGAGAAGATTTAGAAGCATACAACCAGTGCCAAAGGAAAGACGGTGACACAACCAATAGGGGAAAACACTTTGGCTCCTGTGGATGATACTAAACTGACCCAGGCACTTAGTCTGTGGCTATAGCAACAGCTTCCATTGGGAGGAAAAGGAGTTCTGAGAGGAGTTGTCTGGACTTCTGATATGGTGCTCTGCTGGGTTTGTGGGGGAATATCAAGGCATTCTTACCAATTTGTGGACAGAGTCAAAGTGGAAGAAAGAAGAAGACCATTGGACATTGGTGTTGGAAGTGAAAAAGGGCACAGAGAATATCAGTATATTTCTTGGCCTATTCCAGGATGAGAAAGACAGTAAGTTCACAAATTCATGTTTTTTTAATGCCATCATTTCACCCAAAAAATTCCAGACTCTGAAACATCAGATTAGCAACTCCTCTTCCCTTGAGAAAGAGCTAATAAAGAATAGGTGGAAAGTAAGGACAGAGGTTTCTTTATCCCTGGGCCATTCCCTATTTCCCCCAATGATTAGTATGTACTATAGGGATTAATGCACTTCTCTTTTGTGGGTGGGCCTGGTATATACTTGACTTGCTTGGACTGTGTTCAAATAAGTTGAACTCTCAACAAAAAGTTCTTTCTTCTTTTGCACCTGAATTAGCAAGCTATGATTACAAGGATGCCAAAGCAGAGTAAAAATGGTATAATTTAAGCAATTAGACAGCCAGACCCTTAACTTTTGAGATTAGTATAAAATATATTTAGCAAAGTAGTTCTAAAGAAAGCTATCCAAAATATTTAAGAAAATATTTATTGCAAGGTAGTTATAGCTTTTATTTATATAAACTTCTTACCAATTCCTGAAAGATCAATGAATAAATACATTATATGGTATTCTGTCTTAACTGTAAGGTTTACAATCTGCCAACCCAAATAAATTCTTTTTTTAGCATAAATTTACTTATATTAATTTTTTATTTTAAAAATTTACATACAGCTAAATTGACATTTTGGTGTACAGCTCTAAGAGTTATAACACATGCACAGAGTTTTGTAATGACCACAGAACAGTTCCATTGTACTAAAAAATCTTCTACCTTTTAGTCAAGCCCTCTCCCCAATCCCTAACCCCTAGTGATGACTGATCTGTTTTCTACCCCTAGAGATTTGCCTTTTCCAGAATGTCATATAAATGGACTCATACAATATATAACCTGTTGAAACTGTCTCATTTCACTCAGTTTAATGCCACTGAGATTCATCCATGTGGTCCTGTTTATCAAGAATTTGTTCCTTTTGTTGTTGAGTAGTATTCCATTGTATGGATGTATCTACAGTTGTTTATCCCTTTCCCACTGAAAGATATGTAGGTTGTTTTCAATCTTTGGTGATTATGAATAAGGATGTGGTAAACACTCCTGTATGTGTATATGTGAACATAGGTTTTCATTTGTCTAGGGTAAATACCTAGGCTTGGGAATACTGGATCTTATAGTAAGTATATGCTTCACTGTTTACCAGGAAGGTTGTACCATTTTGCATTATCACCAGCAATGTATGAGACTCCAGTTACTATTCATTTTTGTCCTTCTGATAGGTATGCAATGGTATTCTTTGTCATTTTATTTTGCATTTCCTTAATGACTAATGATTTGGATAACTTTTTTCAGGAACTTATTTGCCACATGTATATCTTCTTTGATAAAGTGTTTATTCAAAACTTTTGCCCATCTTTTGGGCATTATGTTTGTTTTCTTATCGTTGAGTTTTGAGTTCTTTATATATTCTGGATACAAATCTGTTGTTGGATATGTGATTTGCAAATATTTTCTTCCAGTTTGTAGATGACTTTTCATCCTTTTAAGACTGATGTTTTTCAGGGCAAAAGTTTTTAATTTTGGTGCAGTCTAA